CATATAAACTGGCAGCTTTGTGATTGCATTAAGTATAAGGCTAATCGCTATTACGAATAACTGTATCATCTAGCACTGCTATAATTAGATTTTATATATGTACTATAGATTTTCTGGCTGTTGATTCTGAGAATAAGGGGTAAATTTTTTATCCCTTGATGTATACCTAGAAGGTGGTTTACAAGGCTCATGTAAAATACGATGATCTACATCTAGTAAAACCTGATAATCTAATTAAAAACAATATTATGTCTCACTACATTTTTGTATTGTTTGTTTGAATCTTCCCATTGGTGCTTAAGACTGCAACTGCTCAATCTCCTATGCAGGTTGTCACTATATTGCCTTAGGTACATTCAGCTGACGAGTCCCAAATGAGACAAAACACTTATCCTGGATTATACTGTTAGAAACCATCCATCTTTTCTTAATATTGTGTTTTTTGTTTCCCGAAGAGGGCTTTTAATATTCACTCTAATTATCCAAGCTATCAGAACATTGATTGTTTTAAGTATTTTCTGTTCAAAGACAAGTGAATACATAATTTCAGTGGAAAGGAAATGATACCAAGTACTTGATGTTTTCATTTCTTCCTTTCCAGATAGTGGTTCATATTATTTCTTTTATGCACTCTGGAAAATACTTCCAAATATGCTTCCTTGATCATCCAACAATTGTAGGATACAAACCTTCAGTAATTAATTTTGGATGTTAACACTGTCTATTTAATTATTATTTACTACGTTACAAAATTAAGCGAGCGAACTGATGTATTCACTTTGCTATAATACAACAATAATTTTTTAGTTTAACCGCATTCCTTGTTTCATTAAGTGTTGTATGGTTTTATTTATTGTAGAAGTAAAAATGTAATATTACTTACTTACTTATGCCCGTTACTCCTAATGGAGCATAGGCCGCCGACCAGCATTCTTCAACCCACTCTGTCCTGGGCCTTCTTTTCTAGTTCCATCCAATTCTCGTTCATTTCTCTCATGTCTATTTCCATTTCTCGGCGTAATGTGTTCTTTGGTCTTCCTCTTTTGCTTTCGCCTTGAGGATTCCATGCGAGGGCTTGCCTTCTGAAGCAGTTGGGTGCTTTCCCCAACGTATGTCCTATCCAATTCCAGCGCTTCTTCCTCCACCGAGATCTGGCTTGTTCTCTCCCACAATAGGTTGTTGCTGATAGTATCTGACCAACGGATTTGGAGTATTTTGCGTAGACAACTGTTAATAAACACTTGTATCTTCTGTGTGATGGCTTTCGTAGTTCTCCAGATTTCTGCCCCATATAGTAGAACTGTCTTGACATTTGTATTGAAAATCCTGACCTTGGTGTTGGTTGACAGTTGCTTTGAGTTCCAGATGTTCTTCAGTTGTAAATATGCTGCTCTTGCTTTTCCGATCCGCGCCTTCACATTTGCATCAGATTCACCGTGTTCGTCAATGATGCTGTCCTTCTTTCCAGTCTTTTGGTACTTGTTCTTCATCCCAAATCTTATTGAAGAGAATGTGAAGTATCTCTGCAGTTACTGCTACGTCTGCTTTCAAAAACGCTAACCAGAAAAAATGTAATATGCCATCAGTTAACTCATTCGGATTCAAATGAGTTGTTGTTAGTCTGCAGAAATAGGCAATCAGCATGCACTACCAATGTTTGAATTCTTATTATGGCAAACCGATACATAAGTTTTTCATGCTTCACATGTCTATTTTCTGGATGTTAGCCCAATTTCGATTATAGATTTGCTAACTGATGTGTAATAACAACAAATTACCCCATATATTTTACTATATTCTCCATAATTGTTTACACGAACTATGATGTGTTTATCACATACTGACTGGAGAGACTCAATGGTTTATTTTAATATTTACTTATTAAATGTGTACTTTATCGTTCATTCCATTTTCTGAATATTTTCCAAAGTAAAAAAGTCTTTTCTGACCAACTGTTACTTAATCATATAATTTGTTTAAAATAAAGCAAATAATATTCGTAAAATATACAGCAACCTCATTATCGAGTATAACGTACAATTAGATTACGAGATAATGATATAACAGATAACATCCGTAAGAGTTCTAGTCTATAGTGAGTCCTTTGTCAATATTTGATTTTATGGAACCTAATGTTACACATTTTTATTTAAAATGTATCACTCTGTCTATTATTTATTTAGTTGTAGGAATATCATTTTGATATCGAAATGGAGCACTGACCGTATTCACCTTTGTTTCTTAATCCTCTCTGTTTAGTGAAAGCTAAATTACAGTCTATTTGTAAGTTTAATATCTTTAAGACTTCTCGATAAGTAATGGAACAAAGTTCGGAAGATACCTGGGATTCATATCTGGAGATGGGTATTAAGAAAAGTGAAAATATGATAATGTTGTAAGAGTTTGATCCATGTACACACATTTAATTTTGTAACAGCCACAAACTTCAATAGTATTGAAACTTAATTCCAGTATTTTATCATTTCTAATAGTTAACAGACAAAGTATGTTGACTGTCATAATGAATATAATTTCTGGTTAGTCTGCATTCAATGACTAAAGAAACTACTAACTAAAACACTTCAAGCTGACAAGGAAATTACAAATTATGTTCTACAAGGCAATACACATTTTTCTGTTATATTTCTCATATTTGTCCCTGTGAAAAAAACATTTGACAGAAAAATCAACTTAATTAAGGTTGGTGGCACGACACATTGTGATACTATTGAACAATAGAGGCTGATAAACTACATTGAATTTATTTAGCATGTGTGTATTTAAGTAATTTCATAGACTTTCCTGAAATTATTATTACATACTAGATCAATTTAGAATCAATGCAAAATATAATGTGTTGAGAATCAGTATTTTAACACTTATACAATGTGTTGGAATACAGTATTATTGATAATGACAAAAAGACGACCATACTCATTACGAATCTTTACACCACAATAGTAACTACATATCAACTGCATAAAAGTTAAGTAGAACTTTTGCTCGACGAGATAGAAAGACACGAAACACGAATAGACACCTAAGGAATAGCATTACCGCTTGAAAATTCGTTGGCGGCCATAAAAATCAGAATATTAAGTAAATAAATTTAATAATAAACCCATTATTTGCATATTTTACTTAATTGTAGATCACTGATTTTTAAGTCTTTCATCTCTTATGCCTGAAAGCTACAAACAAAATAAAAACATTACGAATGAACTTCGTTCCCAAGATACGTTGCTGATGAGCAAACAGCGAGACTTAATAGTTAACATTTATTTAGACTTAATGTGAGATATTGTTTGTTTACTTTCTGATTATTTACGCTTGTTACTCCTCGTGGAGGAGCATAAAACGTCCATCAGGATCCTCCAACATACTCTGTCATCGGCTGTCCTTCCCAGTTGTTCCCAGTTGCCATCCATTCTGTTGATGGCTGCCTCCGATTCTCGATGCAATGTGTTCCTCGGTCTCCTTTCTTTCCTCTTCCAGTCAGCATTCCATATTATGGATCACCTAGTGAACAAGTTTCATGATTTTTGCAAAGTATGTTCTATTTTTTCTTCAGTTAGAAGCTGATTTGTTCGCTACCACAGTGGAATGTTGCTGATCGTATGCGGTCAATGGATATTGAGTATCTTGCGTAGACAACTGTTTATCAATACCTGTACATGTTTGATGATGGTTGTTGTAGTTCTGTAATTTTCAGCTCTGTACAGTAGAACTGTCTTGGCGTTTGTATCGAAGATTTTGACTTCTACGTTGGCTGATAGTTGTTTTGAGTTCTATATGTTCTTCGCTCGTATGAATGCTGTCCTCATGCCTTAACATCTGTATCCGATCATCCTTGTTCATCATGATGATAGCCAGATGCGTGGAAGCTTCCACCTCTTCCAGAGCTTCTCCATCAAGTATGATTGAGTTGGTGTTCTCCGTGTTGTATTTGAGGATCTTGCCTTTTCCCTTGTGTATGTTGACTCCCACTGCTGCTGACGCTGCTGTTACACTGACTATCTTCACCTTCATTTGTCGTTGTGTTTGGTATAGAAGAGTCGGGTTATCTGCGAAGTTCAATTCGTCTAGCCACATCTAAGCTATTGATTATATTCCTTGCTTCGCCTCAGATGTCGAGGTCTTTATAATCTAATCGACCACCAGAAGAAATAAAAGAGTGAAGAGTAAGCAGCTCTGTCTGACACCGATCTTCACTTGTAATGCATCTATGAGCTGTCCTCCACACAAAACCTCACGGTGTAGGCTTTTTTGGATAAATTACGTATTATAGTGACAGCATTCTCATGCACACCATAGTGTTGAAGCAGGTTCCATAAGATTTTCAAATTCACACTGTTAAACGTCTTCTCACAGTTGAGGAAGTTGATGCATTGTGTGGAGTTCCATTAAAATGATTTTTCAATGATGATCTGTATCGTCGCAATTTTCAATGCTCCATCGACCCTTACGGATTCCAAATTTTGATCTCGAATTTGGGCATTAGTCGAATATTTCATGGATAAGTTGAGAAGCGTTTGATTTAAGTTGGCTTTTTATTGTGAGAAATGCGTAGCACGATCTAGTCACTCGTGATCTGATGCGCATGCATGATCTAACGCCTCCATCTGTGGTTTGTTCAGTGAAATTATTGAGTCCAGTGTCAACGTCGTATACATACAAAACTACATATTTTTGAGATTTAGTTACTACCACAGCTGTTTACAATGACTGCGTATGCCCTTTTAAAAACAATCAAGAGTGTTAATGATACGTTGAAGCATCCTTTCTGCATTCAAGAAGTACATGTTAGATGTTTAGCTGCATCATTCATCCCCTACAGTGGGATATTCTTTGCAGCACCATTCATAACAGAATATCAGTATTCCATTAAGAGTAAGAAGAGATAAGTTCAGATAAGAGATCTTATTTTGTTCAAAGGAAGATGAAGACATTCTAAACAAATTTGATTTACTCATTAATGAAAAGATTATTTGTTTAGACCCGTACTTGAGGCGCGACTTATGGTCTCAGACGTTGGTGTGTTACCAATTAGTTAGTGTGTTATATGAGACATATTACAAATGATACTTAACATTGTTTCCTTAATCACTGATTCATGTTCGTTAGAAAAGTCCCCATGCAACTTTGTTCTTTGAAAATCTTCAAGGGGCAATCGTTTGCGCAAGGCTTATATTAGAATACATATCGAACCTAGTTTTAGTTCCAAACAAAAATTTAACAACTAGTTCCTACTATCTAAATATAATCATAGTTCCCAGCATAACTTGTAAACAGCTCTTACATGCTTGGCTTCTCGAGCAGATATTATGTAAACTATATATCATAGGTTTATCTCACCTTTACCGAAAAGAGATGTAAGTAGTTGGTTTGAATTTCGGTCTCATATTCATACCCCTTCTATGTGCAAACTGAAGTCAACACCTTTTCATCTTTCTATAGATTGGGTTTTTGAGAATTAACACTACCAGCGTTAGTTAACTAAAAAGTTAGGTCTAGTAATGAAAGTTAATATGTAGATGACTGTATCATTAGTCTATGTTATAACTGGGGAAAGCATGAGTAATGCAAGGATATAATTATTTAAGATGATAAAAAGCAGGTTCTGTGCATGTATATGAATGTTTGTGCTTGCTAATGATGACTATCCTGACCCCTGAAATGTATCCATCAAAACATTTGCATTTATTATTTTTGTATGGGTCGCTCATTTTTTGTTTGACATTTTGGACTACTTCACTGCTTAATAAGCATTAGAATATTGATAAGCACGGCGTTCTTGCACTTCCGCTATAAACTTATAATGAGCCCCTCATACATGTTATATATTAAAAAAGCTAATTGTAGTGGTCTCTGATCGACGAACGGTAGTCATTGAACATAGTCAGCCCGCTTTGCGAGTCACTTCTCTCCTGATCGATCACCTGACTCTTGTTTCATCAGGAAGTAGAGTTCGGTCCACTAATTAGTTGTACGTGGCGTTCCAACCACTCAAATATTGTCACGAATCCAGATTCTACTTGGCTATGGGCAACTGTGTAGTACGACCAGCTTGCCGAAAAGTATGGGCTCAAATCTGAGCAGATAAATCTGTATCAGGTAAATAATTTACATTCTAATGTATACGAGGTGTAAGGATTGAAGCAAAACTGTTTGTAGATGTAATTCAGGGGAATTTCCTTTTGACAATTAAGTAGTACACCGTTAGTCTGTGGTTCTAAACTCTATATAGTAGCTCTTTGTAGGGCCCATTTTCACCCTCCTCCCCCCGTATGCTGTGCTTGAAATGGTCAACCGGAATGCCTCCATTCATGGCACTTGTGTACCTATGTTCTGTATCATCATTCCAGAATGTAATGACTTAGTACCCTATCACTAAACATGATGTATACATTTTAAAACTCAGGCACGGGTTCTTGTATGCGGCGTTTAATCACTTCTCTTTATGTGAGGACTAATGGCACAGCCATGTTGCTCAAAATGAAGTAGCTAGCCCCAGGTTTGAATTCCTAGACCAGGGTTATAAAGTCAATTGCTCTAAATATTAACCCACTACTCCATATAACTGAGACAAAATGGGGGGAAATGTAGTAAGACACCATTTTGTTTGGCGGTGTATTTGGATAGTCAATGATAATACTTAGTATGTAAAGTTCAAGACATTAAGGTACAGATAAAATTTTATGTTCTAAACGCTAAGTAATACTAATACTTGCTTGACATATTGGCTGTTCTTAAAGATCGGTAGTATTCACTGAACGAAGTTTAACTCATCCCTTAAACTGTTATTGGTTGTACATTGCTAACTACAATGTTTTGTTCGTTAATTGGACTCAAGCATTGTTTCACAATAACCTTTCGAACATTTATTGTACGTAAGTCCTCTAATAAACATCACTACCCCTTCGATTAACAGTTTACGCTAAGAAGTTTAAGGACACACTCAACATCTTGATCTTTTCCATCTAGTTGCGCTTTCAAAACTGTAAATCTTAACTCGTTCCACTAAATGGTCATTAACAACCAACTGGCGAATCCCGATCCCAAAGGATACTTACGCCTGTTACTCCCCACAGAGCATAGGCCGTCGACCAGCGTTCTCTAATCCACTCTGTTCTAGGCCTTCCTTTCCAATTCTGTCCAGTTTTTTCATTATTCTCATGTCCGTCTCCATTTCTCGGCATATTGTGTTCTTTGGTCTTCCTCTTTTGCTTTCGCCTTGAGGATTCCATGCGAGGGCTTGCCTTCTGAAGCAGTTGGGTGCTTTCCCCAACGTATGTCCTATCCAATTCCAGCGCTTCTTCCTCCACCGAGATCTGGCTTGTTCTCTCCCACAATAGGTTGTTGCTGATAGTATCTGACCAACGGATTTGGAGTATTTTGCGTAGACAACTGTTAATAAACACTTGTATCTTCTGTGTGATGGCTTTCGTAGTTCTCCAGATTTCTGCCCCATATAGTAGAACTGTCTTGACATTTGTATTGAAAATCCTGACCTTGGTGTTGGTTGACAGTTGCTTTGAGTTCCAGATGTTCTTCAGTTGTAAATATGCTGCTCTTGCTTTTCCGATCCGCGCCTTCACATTTGCATCAGATTCACCGTGTTCGTCAATGATGCTCCCCAGATATGTAAAGGTTTTTACGTCTTCCAAATCGTCTCCGTCAATTTTGATTGGATTGGTGCATGCTGTTTTGTATTGGAGAATCTTACTTCTCCCTTGTGTATGTTGAGACCTACTGCTGCTATACTGGTCGTCTTCTCCTGCATTTGTTGTTGCGTTTGGGATAGAAGGGCCAGATCGTCTGCGAAGTCTAGATCACCCAACTGCATCTTAGATGTCCATTGTATCCCGCGCTTCGCTTCAGACGTTGACGTCTTCATGATCCAGTCGATCACCAGGAGAAAGAGAAAGGGTGAGAGTAAGCAACCTTGCCTAACACCGGTCTTCACTTCGAACGACTTTGTCAACTGTCCTCCATGCACAATTTTGCAGTGTAATCCATCATATGAGTTCTGTATGATATTGACTATCTTCTGAGGCACGCCGTAGTGTCGAAGAAGTTTCCATAGTGTTGTTCTGTCCACGCTGTCAAATGCCTTTTCGTAGTCAATGAAGTTGATGTAGAGTGATGAATTCCATTCAATTGATTGTTCCACAATGATCTGTAGAGTTGCGATTTGGTCTGTGCACGATCTATCCTTACGGAATCCTGCCTGTTGGTCACGAAGTTGGGCGTCTACGCAGTCCTTCATCCTGTTTAACAATACCCTGTTGAAGACATTTTTCGGTATTGAGAGAAGAGTGATGCCCCTGTAGTTATCACAGTTGCTGAGATCGCCTTTCTTTAGTATCTTGATGAGGTGTCCTTTCCAGTCTGTTGGTACTTATTCTTCATCCCAAATCTTGCTGAAGAGGATGTGGCGTATCTTTGCAGTACTGCTATATCTGCTTTCAGTGCCTCTAGTGGAATGTCTGATCCTGCTGCTTTGCCGCTCTTGATTTGTCTGATGGCCATACTGATCTCTTTAATTGTTGGTGGACCAGCATCGATTGGGAGATCCGTGGGTGCTGCTTCAGTGTCGGGTGGGTTCGGTGGGGCTGGTCGATTCAAGAGTTCCTTGAAGTGTTCTACCCACCTATTCGCTATTTTTCAATGTTGGCGATTACTTTGCCTTCCTTACTTTTCACTGGTCGTTCTGGTTTACGATAATTTCTAGTGAGCTTCTTTGTTGTGTCATACAATTGCCTCATTTTTCCTTAACTTGCAGCCTTTTCCACCGTCATTGCTAAATCTTCCACATATTTACGTTTGTCTGTTCTGATGCTTTTCTTCACTTGCTTGTTTAGTTCTGTGTATTCAGCTTGTACCTTGCCTTTTTCTGTTTTTGTTCGGCTGGTATTGATTGCTGCCTTCTTGTTCCTCCTTTCTTGAATCTTATCCAGTGTATCAACAGTGATCCATTCCTTGTGGTTGTGCTTCTTGCGGCCCAGAACCTCATGACATGTTGAAGTGATTGCCTCTTTTATCCCTTTTCAGTTGCTCTCCATCGTAGTCCCCTCTCCATTGAGTAGATCATGAAATGTCTGGAATCTACTGCTGAGAACTATCTTGAATTCGTTGAGTTTGTGACCATTCCGAAGAAAAGCCGTATAAAACTTTTGTGATGTTGTCCACCCCGTCGTCCAGTGCTTCTTGAGTTTCAATTTCATCTTGGCGACCAGCAGATGATGATCTGATGCTATATCAGCTCCTCTTTTAATTCTCACATCCTCCATCGTCCTCCTGAACTTTTTGTTAACGCAGATATAATCGATTTGGTTTTGCGTAGTGTAAACTGGTGAAGCCCATGTGGTTTTGTCTATGCATTTATGCAGGAATATAGTCCCGCATATGACCAGTTTATTGAAAGCACATAGGTTTGCAAATCTCTCACCATTTTTGTTCCTTTCTCCTTATTTATTTATTTATTTCAACACATAAACATTGGTACAAGAGGGCACCAAATATATATGCGCCACACCATAGTTGTATGTGTGTGGTCTGTGATACTGCCCGGGTGCCCTGACCGAAGCAGGTGGTTTTCTTAGGGGGCCACACCCCGAGCCTTTAACCTAAAGGTCTGATCCACAAAGCAGTGGAGCATCGTGAGGAGATGCATTCCCATGGTAGCCGGTGACCAACGATTGGTTCATACGCCATTTGTTCTCGCAGGATACTGGAGCCCATGTGCACCATTGGTTTGAGATCCGGTTAAAGCGCCGGACATTCGCTTTTCGTCCTCTCATTTTCGTAAACAACACCTCCGTCCATGTCGTCCCATGATGTCTTCATATCCGGTGTTGTCCATTCCAACCTTGGGCATTAAGGTCTCCCATTAGAATGGTCAAGTCTTTTGTTAAGCAGTTCTGGACGATTGATTGTAACCTATCGTAGAATTGATCTTTAACGTCTTCATTGTAGTCGTTGGTAGGCGCATAGCATTGGATGAGGTTCATTGTAATGCCCTCTTTCTTTGTTTGGAAGGAGGCTTTGATGATCCTTGGTCCATGAGATTCCCATCCTGTAAATGTATTTCGTGCTTGTTTGGATAGTATCAATGCAAATCCTTGTGTATGTGTGACATTTTCTTCTCCATAGCCGGAGTATAACAGAAGCTCCCCTAAAGCTATTCGTTGTTGTCCAACCTGCGTCCAATGTGTTCCATTGATTCCGAGCACCTCTAGGTTGTATCTCCTCATTTCTGCAGCAATTTGTAAGATTCTTACGGTCTCCCACATTGTACGAGCATCCCATATACCTAAATGAATGGTTGCTCTGGTTGTCAGAAGGGGCATCAGCTTCGTGATTTCCGAAGGAACTCGGCTTTCACCATGTGTCATAACTCTTCTAAATGAAGACCTGAATCTCAGGGCAGAGTTTAAATGGTTTGGATAATTTTTTCCTGGTTAGCGTTTTTTAACGAGTTGGTTTTCTACGGGATGAGGTCTCTAACCCCATGCCCAACCCTCCTCCTTTATCCGGGCTTGGGACCAGTAGTAGCCCAAGAGGGGCTCCAGGCGGAGTGTAATCGTAATTATTTTATGAGTACGTGATATTTACCGTATACTCAGTTGATATCAATTACTAAAGGATTCCCCCTCCATAAAGCCACAGTAAACTAGACTAAACGTACCTGAATGTCATCACACTTAATTGCCTGATAAGTTTTTTTTAGATTCCTTGACTCATTATCAAGAGTAGTGAATGAATGGTACTTACTCCATTTCTTAGTAGCAAAGATTCTGATTTCCGAGTAATGTATTGTTCTAACTCGTAAAAACACATTTTCGTGATAACTTTATCCGTCTATGTCGACTTAATAAAGACTTTATTATGGTTCAAAAACTTTGGTACATTTAGTTTACTCTCGAAAGACATTAGGTACTATTTGTTTCTAATATACTCTTGATAGATCTTTAATTGCTCTAGTTCTGTTTCGATCAAACGTATCACCTAAGCTGTTACAGTTTTGTTGAGGTATAGTGACTTAACTCACTGACGTAGTACAGATTTGTATACTCGACTTTGAGCCACCTTGTGCGAGGATTAGTGATGCTATCAGGCTGACCAAACCGAAGTAGGTAGAGTGGTACTCAAATTTGTGATGTACTGACAAAAATTCGAACATTATTTGAATTGGCCATTCCATGTAAATGCGTTTGTCTGTAATTAATCATAGTTACTTTAGTCCCAGTTTTTACATCTGAATACCAAATACTGTTGTTTAAGACTTGAATTACATATTTTTTTGAACTCCAGCTGTAGAGTTAGTGGAGTGGTTGCTTATTGTTTAAGGCATCCAACTTATGGCCACTAAGTCCCAGGTTCAAACACTCCCCTACCTTTCTCAGTTTGGGCAACTGGCTGGTATCATTATTCCTCATATAGAGTGTACCTTATACCCAAGTACTCGGAGTTCACCTAAAGCTTGGTCTTGTGTAACATGTCCAGAAATTTAACGGAAAAACCTTTCCTTTACTTATAAAATCCATCCTAAAAATAGGAGAGCGGGACTTAGAATCCTCCATATCGAGATTTTTCTCTGAGGTTCTATATCAAAACAAAATTAAGTAAAAAGTCGGTATTCAGTTATGTAGATCGACTGTTGGTTGTCAGATTTAATATTATCAAAATCCAAGAAGTAACTTTTCATTGGCGTCAATTCAAAATTAAGAAGTGGACAATTGCCCACTGTTGTAAAATTTCTTGCATTTTACACTGCACATATCTCACTAGAATTAGAGGTATTAAATAACCTCACTTGTGACATCTCCATGTACAAGCCTCGATAATCGTACCTTAGTTAACAGCTATCCGTAGTGAGTTTGAGGATATTACGATTACCTACTGAGTCCATATAAACGAACTCATTATTGTATCCGATATACATCACTGACTAAATTAAAACGGTTATTCTTTAATGTATTTTTTGCTTTAGAAACCTGATATGTCTACAGGCAGCAGTACTCGTCGAACTGAAGTGACAAATGCCAAAGTACGAATCAAAGCTTTTCCTCCTTCGATAGATGAGAGATATGCCAATCAGTTATGGGATCAGATTAAAAGTGCGATAATCGAGATTCAAAAGAAAAACAACAGTTGTTTAAGCTTCGAAGAACTCTACCGCAATGCGTACACTTTGATATTACAAAAACACGGTGAACGTTTGTATGCGGGGACAGAGGCTGTTGTACGTGAACATATGATCAAGATCCGCGATAGTATTGTTGAAAATCTAAATAATAAGTTTTTAACTTACCTTAACTCATGTTGGAAAGATCACCAAACTGCTATGGGAATGATTCGTGATATTCTTATGTACATGGATCGTGTCTACGTCGGCCCCCATAACCTGGATGGAGTTTATAAGATGGGAATGACTGTTTTCTGCGATCTCGTCGTACGTTATCCAATTATCAGAGAGCACTTGCAGAAAACTCTGTTGGATATGGTACGCAGGGAACGCCGAGGTGAAGTAATATCCCGTTCTCAGATTCGCGATGCCTGTCAGATGTTTGTGCAGTTGGGGGCCGGATCATTACGTGTTTACCTTGAAGATTTTGAACAGCCATTTTTGGAGCAGTCAAGAGAATTTTACCGCACAGAAAGTGAAAATTTTCTTTCTGAGAATACTTCTGCTTCCCTGTATATTAAAAAAGTCGAACAAAGAATCGAGGAGGAAGTTCGAAGAGCACATCATCATCTTGATCCATCTACGGAACCCAAAATCGTCGTCGTATTAGAAGAGGAGCTTATAAGTCGACACATGGAAACTATTGTCGGTATGGAAGATTCAGGATTAACGTACATGTTAACTCATGATCACTTCAGTGATATCGCTGCTATGTATGGCGTTTTAAGTAGGGTTGAAGAAGGACCAAAAATAATGAGTAACTACATTAGCCTGTACTTAAGAGAGCAAGGAAGAAATACTGTACGTGATACTGGGTCATCAACACCCCAACAGCACATTCAAGATCTGCTTCAATTACGCGATCGCGCTAATGAATTACTAACGAGAGCACTTAATAATCAGACAATATTTCGTAATCAAATTAATTCTGATTTTGAGTACTTTGTCAATTTAAATCCTCGTTCTCCCGAATTTCTGTCATTATTTATTGATGAAAAACTCAAACGTGGCACCAAAGGCATGGCAGACCAAGATGTAGACGCCATTTTCGATAAGTGTATTGTATTATTCCGATATTTACAGGAAAAGGATCTATTTGAAGGCTATTACAAAAAGCATCTTGCAAAAAGGCTGTTATTAAGTAAAAGTCAGTCAGATGATCAAGAAAAGATTATGATATCCAAGCTTATGGCCGAATGTGGTGCTGTATACACAAGTAAACTAGAAGGAATGTTTAAAGATATGGCAGTGTCTAAAACCCTCATGGATGAATTCAATGTAGTACTATCTAATGGTAATCGCAATCTTAACCTAGATCTGTACGTTCGTGTACTAACTACTGGTCTTTGGCCAACTCAAGTAACTAATTCGAATGAAGCGTTACCAGAAGAAGCTGATACAGCGTTTAAAGTTTATAAAAAGTAAGTCATTTTGTACACGTGTTTTGCATAATAAACACTTACTATTGTTATTATGATCGTATTTAGTTCTAAATGTGTAACTAAGTTTTAAAAATTAACCACCTCCCTAGAAATGAGTCACAATTGGTATGCTGAATGCTCCTAACACTGAGTTTCATTTTATCAGCGAAACGGTCTTTTTAGTAGCTTAAGTAATATTGGTACTTTGGTTTTCATTTAATAATTTTTTATTTGTTTTGGTGATTAAAAATTTTGTACTTAATAAAGCATCAAATAATAAATCTGAAAAGTCCTCACACTAGTCGCTCACCAGATTACAGATGTACCAACTAATAGCCTTTTGTACGTGTTTCGTACAACTTCAACTTTCTGGTTTGTTATGCACCGTTTCTTTTGTAGATTTTTAAACAATTATTATTAAAAAACATCGCATAATTCTCAGTATTTCCTTCCATTTACCGCCAGAGACAATAGTTCAGGTCTGATTTTAAACCGTACAATCATATAAATTGTGGACAGCGTTGAAGTTGCCACGAATTTTCAGCAGTTTACGTTACCATATCACTCTTCAGCCTAACAAAGAAAGGAAAATATGAAATGACAGTGAGTTTCAAGATCTATGAGGAGGTAGGGAATAAAAGGATTCACGCAATTACTACCAGTTTTTGACATTATTAGCTTTTTAACTTCAGAATACATGCTGTCGTTGTCTCTCAAGATATTCAAAAGGCTGTGTTTCATCAACATCGCATGGAATATGAGTTTCTGAATATTAGAATAACAGTCTCTTTCTCAAACAACTGTGGTATAATCAAATAAAGTGGTTACTGAATACCTCTGGTAAACACCACTTGACGTACCGAATTCCACAAACTCTGACTTAAATAACATCATCCCCGTGGAGAAATTCACTCATAAACATTTCTACCAAACCTTTAAGAATCCCACTTTTAGTTTAAGGAGTATGATCGCAGTCTGATCTTGGTTAAGAAACTAACTGTGTTTACAAAGGTCTGGGAACTAGAGAGTGTACCAACGTCATGGAATAAGTCGATAGTTGTCCCTATCTTTAAAAAGGGTTCACGTCGTTCCTGTAACATCTATCAGGGGATAAGTCTACTTCCGATTGCGTCCAAGCTATTGGCTTCCGTCATACTTCGTAGGTTGTTCGAAACCCGAGAAAGATTAACTCACGAGGAGCAGGCTGGTTTTCGTTCTGGTCAAGGACGTATTGATCATATCTTCACCCTCCGCCAAATGTTAAAACACTGCCATACTTATCACAGGCCAACAATCGTAATGTTTGTTGACATCAGGGCTGCCTTCAATTCGTTGGACAGGACTGCTCTCTGGGATTGTCTATTGAAGAAGGGTGTACCTGAAAAGTTCATTAATATCTTGAAGGCCTTATGTACAAACACCTCAGGTAGGGTGAGGGCATACAACCACCTTTCTCCATTGTTCCATTCGAGTAGTGGGGTTAGGCAGGGTTGCCCAATCTCACCATTCCTCTTCAACTTTGCCATCGATAACATTCTGGAAACAGTTCTGATGGATGTAAGTAATGGCGGCGTGGATCTGTTGCCTGGAGAAAGACTTCTCGACCCTGAGTATGCGGATGATATTGTCTTACTGTGGGATAATGCCCAAGGCATTCAATCCGCACTTAATCAGTTGGCAGTCAGTGTCCGTAGGTACGGTAGGTGCTTTGCACCTTCAAAGTGCAAAGTACTTCTACAAGACTGGCAGGATTCTAATCCTGTACTCACCCTGGATGGTGAGCAGATAGAAGTAGTCGAGAAGTTCGTGTATCTGGGTAGTTGCATAAGTGCTGGTGGGGGCGTGAGTGATGAGATCAATGCCCGTATAGTGAGAGCCAGAGCTGCTTATGCCAATCTGGGCCATCTCTGGAGCCTTCGTGATGTTAGTCTGGCTGTAAAAGGTCGGATCTACAACGCGTCTGTGAGAGCAGTCTTGCTCTATGCTTGTGAAGCGTTGCCTCTCCGAGTTGAGGACGTTAGACGACTCTCTGTGTTCGATCATTGCTGTCTCCGAAGGATTGCTGACATCCAGTGGCAACACCATGTCACTAATGCGGAGGTTCGGCATCGTGTGTTCGGGTACAGAGACGATAATGCAATTGGTGTTACCATCTTGAAACACCGATTTCGGTGGCTTGGACATGTTCTACGAATGTCGTCCCAGAGAATTTCACGTCGTGTATTATTTGCTGACACTGGGACTGGTTGAAAAAAGCGGGGGATGTTCAGTGTATGGCATGGCGTCGTGGTATGAAAGAAAGCTGCAATGGGCTGGCTTCGGTTGGTCCTTCACAACTCTTTGGCTGGGGTCCGAGAGATGATGTAACACAGTGTCTAGAGACGTTATCAGATATGGCTCAGAATAGAAGCCAGTGGCGATCCTGCTGTTACCTTCTTTTACTTCCCTCATAAAAAGTGGTTGTGTCTTCCTTAACTGGAAGAATTCTTCTGATTGTACCTTTTCGTTTCCACCATTATCATTATTATTATTAATAATACACTACCTTACACTAATCTGTTCTCTTCTTTTTTCCATATACGCACCTTTTTTTCTCTTCCCATTCTCATTGTTTTGTATGGCGCGTATATATTTGGTGCCCCCTTGTACCAATATTTATGTGTTCAAATAAATAAATAAAAACAATTAGTGATCGCTCTCAGTTTAATTAAATTACACCCAGCTCCCAGATTTTAAATCGTAACGAAATTTTTTGTTTACAATTTTATTATTCAGCTTCTATTTAAGCAAGCATAACGGTCGGAAAATCAATCTGCAGACAAACATGGGGTACGCAGAATTGTCTGCTGTATTTTATGGTCGTCCTAATGCAGATATCAATACACCTCAGATCTCTTCTGTTACTGATTCTCATACTCACAGTTTCCTTATTCATGGCTCCAGTTCTGCGTCTTCGAACCAAACAAGTCAAAGTAGTCAACAGACGCCAATCAGTGGATTACCAGGAAGCCCAGGAGCTCCAAAGACACTTGATTTTCCCAACTCAAGTAGTACTTCTAGTCGATTGAATGTACGAAAATATTTCTTACAGGTAAATATCTTTCCATATCTTCAAGAAATTTCACAAATATGTAATTAGCTAATAAAACCGTCATAAAACTTCTACTTTCAAAGTAAATACTGACCAAAACAATGTGATTATTCACACTTTGACATTAAGTTTTGCGTAGGTTGTCACTGTAGCGGTATTAAGTGTATGTATTGTGGTGTCATTGGAACATAATAGATTTACGGTTAGCTAGTTATTTTAATTACTTTAAATCCACATTTTTATTTGATCAGTCAACCATTTAATTAGCAGCGTCATAGTGTCCCATACAAATAAACATTAAGTGTAACTTCCTAGTCTTTTTAATGAGACTAACGGGTGAAACTTATTCATGGACGACCCTTGAGCGACGCTAAAGTGACCTAGAGCATGTCCACCCACTAACTAAGACCGAATTTGGGTCATAAAACAGTTTAAAGAATAAGGATCATGATTTACATTTGATGGTTAGGGTTAGAAATTAGATTTAGGGTTTTCATCACGAATTGACATCAGCTAAAATGCCAATACGCTATTCGGCCAAATGGTTAAATGAATTTCGCACCAAAATTCAAGATCTGTTATCCTAAATCTGATTGGTTCGTCCATAAATTATAGTCTCGCCATATAACTCGTATTAGTTCAATTCGCACTTGAAATTAATCGAGTTTTCAATCCAAAGAAAATGGGATTCTGGCTATAAAAATTTTAAGTGACAATATACTTAACTCCCAGTATTTATTTTCCTGCTCGTTAAGATGTTTAGGGTCGATCTGATGACGTTAACCATGATTCAAAGTGTTACTGCAAAACTTCAACATTAGAATAATACTTGAGACTTCATGGACAATAATATGAATGATATCCTTCATTTGAAAATCATTTTTTAAATGTATTTTAATTATAACAGTACCATAAAGATGGAAAACAAAAAATAGTCTGTACCAGTGAATACTGATTATAGTACATTATATTACACACTGTCCGATACCAAGGTTCTTCTAAAGACATAAAAATACTTTGATTATGATAAGTCAAATCAGATAACATCTACATATCAACTGTCTACCGGATAATGAATCAGTTGCTATTGAATCACTCAGCTTTCTTACTCGGCTACATATAGATAACATTCATGTTGCCCTTTTATGATAAATATACAGTCACAGAACTTACATTTAAACATTTTATTACTTTGCTCCTAGTCATAAATTTTATTCCATGTTTCTAGAATCCATTTTATCCCATTTAATTCTACTGTTTTTAAGCTGATAACAGCAGTGCGTTTAAAAACACTATATTTAATCCGAGTTTTTCTTATTAGTTAATACCATGTGTTTATACCACATGACATCACATATATATAACCCCGTATAATAAATTATGTACCTTGGTATTTAAAAAGGTATATTCATTTATGAATTATATTTCAACAATAAAATCCTTAAGCAGTGTATTAGTTTGACCCCGTACTCTACAACAGATATTTCAGATGCACTTAAAAGTGAAATTGACAAGTTTCGTTTGTCTTCTGTTCTTCCTTGCTAGTATTTACATGTAGGACTTGCTAATCAACGTAGAAGGTAATATTGAGAATGTAAAAATGCTGAATCTTTTCTTCAAGAAAAATAACCATTCCTTCACGTCATACAAAAAACTTCATCGTATCCTATTAGCTTTGTTCTTACATTACTGTAACATCACTATTAAAAAAGTGAATTATTGATATTAATTTGTTATTCCGTGGGAAAAAACGTGAATTTAGTTGTAATAAGCTTTCTGATATTCACGTGAGATATTTCACTCTAATTTGTAGAGTAGGGTTAATTGATCAATTTTTATTTACTTTGCAAGTTGAAATTCGTTTGGATTCTCCATGCTTACTATACTTTAACACTAGCTGAACATTGCCATTATTCCAAATATTCCAATCACACTGTGTGTGTTTTATTGTTAAAGTTCTTAAAGGCTTCGAAAAAGTATTTTAAATTGTTAAAATAATTACTCATGTATATATTCAGTTATTAGATCATGTAGCATATTCTGTTGACCGGGAAAAACAGTATTCTACTGCTGTGTATGTCAAAGTTCATTGGGTCATTTCCACTTCCTTATTAAGTTCTCAGTCAACCTAGAACCTGGCACATATTTCCGTTTGTTCAATTTGCTATACCATATCAGTACAGTGACATAAAATTATTGCGAAAGATTGCTCCATGTACATTCATATTACATTTTAGTATTAATTATTTGATCTCCACAGGAATTGTAGTTTCCAACGTTAGAAATAGGGGGATTATCACCTATTATGCTGTTGTCGTGTTTCTCAGTCTATTTTTCAGACTTGGTAAGCGTAAGTTGAAGTAATTTACGCGATAAGTATAAACTAATAGAACAAAAACAACTACAACAGGAAAAGCCATCGTCCTAACCTAACTAATTGTATTTATTCGTTTTGATTCTATTAATTCATTCATATTTCCTATACAGACTGATTTATAATCAGCTTCCTGTGACTAGTAGCCCTTTTTTATAATCTTCATTTCCATGTTCAATTAATATTAAGATCAGTCGGTTCATGGTAAATTAACAGTGAATTTGTAACTTTATGTCCCTGTGACGACGGACCACCGGTGAACTCGAGGAGGCTCATAGGGAGCCGAAGACATTCCATCCAATCACCTTTCGGAAGAATGTTCTAGAATTCCAACGTGTAGCTTCCCGATTGGATAATGCTAATAACCCCCTGTACGCGGATTGGAAGACTGTAATGATGATTTCGTTCTCACTAAAAACTATAAATACCTGACAATTTTGTACTATGTTTGACACTGTTTGGAATAATATTCCTTTCGTTAGTCTTCTGTCTTCTTATTGCGACTTGGAAGGGTTTGGTGTTCTAGCGCTCAGTTATACGCGGTTGTATCAAGAAAAATCAGCTTTTCAAGATATAACATCTGGCGACGGGTTATTGTATCAATATGTCACTTACCTTGGAACAATTTGAAGCCTTATTGGAACGCCAAGAAAAGTTCCAGATGTGCATGTTAGAGATGCTAACGCAGAAAATGAACCTGGATCAAAAAGAAGTTACAGATGATCCCTTCAAATCTCATGTTGACCAGATTGTTAATTCTATCCATGAATTTAATTTTGATGGTTCAGCTGGCATTACTTTTGAAACTTGGTTCAAGAAATATGAAGATTTGTTCAAGGTCGACCTCAAAAAACTTGATGACGCCGCTAAGGTCAGAATACTCTTGCGAAAACTTGGAACTGTTGAACATGAACGTTACAGTAACTTTATCCTTCCAAAGAATCCAAGAGATTTTTCTTTTGATGCAACGATTGAAATTTCGTCGCAAATCTTTGCTGAACAGTCATCCTTGTTTAATATTCGTTATCAGTGTCTCAAGATGACAAAAGCAGGTGATGATGACTGGGTGAAACATGCGGGTTTAGTAAACCGTGAATGTGAGCGTTTCAAACTATCAGCAATGACAGAAGACCAGTTTAAGTGTCTCGTATTTGTGTGCAGCCTCCAATCTCCCAAAGATGCCGATATTAGGACTAGAATTTTGAGTAAAATTGAACAATGCCCGAATATGACACTACAAGAAGTAACCGCAGAGTGCCAGAGATTGGTGAACCTAAAGCCTGACACTTCGATGGTCGAAAATAATGGCCAGTTGCCATACGTTCGTGCTATAAGCAGAAAGAACGATTCTTGCTCAAGAAAGGCATCGCACACAGATAATCAGCCTTCATCTCCATGTTGGTCTTGTGGTGGTTGGCATTATAAAAGGTTCTGTCCATATAAAGAACATTGTTGTAGCAAGTGTCATCGCAAGGGTCATAAAGAAAACTGCTGCAGAAAAAGAACCCATAAACGACATTCTTTGAAACCCTACTCGAAGAAATACAGATTTAGTGCTCGGACTAACAAAATATTGGTATCACATAATCGAGCACGAATTTGCCGCCAAAGAAAGTATGTAAACTTGGATATAAATAAAAAGCGTGCCCGCCTGCAACTCGACACCGCTTCTGACATCACACTTATTAGTCGGAGAACTTGGAATCTTATCGGTAAACCACAGGTGCTCCCAACAACCCAGTTAGCTCACAGCGCATCTGGAGGAAAGCTAAATATTGTTGGAGAGGTTTGTTGTACAGTCTCGAAAGGAAATGCGATAACGAACGCAACTTTATATCTTACACAGAATCCAGGACTAGATTTGCTAGGTCTAGACTTGATAGAAGCACTTCAATTAGCAAATCACCCCATTAACCACATATGCAGCGCAGTGAGAACCAGTAAACCTGTGGAAAAGGATCTGAAGAGTGTTGTATTGGAAAGACACAGTCAAGTGTTTACGGAAGAGTTGGGGGAATGCAAAAAGGTTAAAGCACTATTGATTCTTAAACCGGGAGTCACCCCCGTCTTCAGACCAAAACGTCCGGTACCCTATGCAGCACTACCTATCGTTGAACAAGAATTAGAGCGTCTGCAAAGAAGTGGAATAATCGAACCAGTAAACTTTTCTGATTGGGCAGCTCCAATAGTGATTGTTAAAAAGCCTAATGGAAGTATCCGGTTATGTGCAGATTATTCGACTGGATTAAATGAAGCGCTTGAAGCCCATCAATACCCATTGCCGGTACCAGAGGATTTATTTGCGAAACTGAATGGGGGTAAGTATTTTGCGAAATTAGACCTATCAGACGCTTATCTACAGATTCCGGTAGCGGATGAGTGTAAGCATTACTTGACAATAAACACTCACAAGGGATTGTTCCGATATAACCGACTTCCTTTTGGAGTAAAGACTGCCCCTTCAATCTTCCAGCAAGTTATGGACACTATGTTACAAGACATTCCTGGTACTGCGGCTTATCTCGATGATATATTGATCATGGGCACAGACTATGCTGATTTAGAGAATAAGGTGGATACGGTTCTCAGACGCATAGCAGATTATGGATTAAGACTGCGTGCCGAAAAATGTGATTTTTACATGGAGCAAGTCCGGTATTTGGGATTCATAATTGATAAAAACGGGAGAAAACCTGATCCTGAAAATGTCGAAGCCATTAAGTCCATGCCTCCACCGACGGATGTGTCAACTTTACGTTCTTTCTTGGGAATGGTTAGTCATTATGGAGTTTTTCTGCCAGATCTGCATCGCCATCGTGCTCCTCTTAATTGCTTATTGAAAAAGGATACTAAATGGTTCTGGTCAACTGAATGCCAAGAAGCATTCCTAAAACTGAAGCAGCTTCTATCATCGAATCTTCTCCTTACACACTATGATCCTGATCTTCCAATTATAGTCGCAGCAGATGCGTCGAACTACGGAATTGGAGCAGTAATTTCACATGCCTACCCTGACGGTTCTGAGAAAGCAATCGCTCACGCTGCGAGATCTCTGACTATGACTGAAAGAAACTACAGCCAAATAGAAAAAGAAGCCCTCGCGATTATATTTGCTGTAAAAAAGTTCCACAAGATGTTGTTTGGTCGGCAGTTCACCTTACTTACAGATCATAAACCTTTACTGACAGTTTTTGGATCTAAAAAAGGCATCCCGGTATATACAGCAAACCGGCTACAGAGATGGGCTACCACACTGCTGGGTTATGATTTCAAGATAAATTATCAACCAACAACGGATTTCGGACAGGCAGATGCACTCTCAAGATTGATTGGTCTACATGAAAAACAAGAAGAAGAGGTGCTTGTAGCTGCTATAGATGTCGAGGCCGAGGTTCACAAAATATTGTCAGACGCAGTTTCCGGACTCCCGGTCACATTTGAAGCCATTAAAGAGGCAAGCAAGAAGGATAATGTATTAAAGATTGTTCGCCATTGCATACTCAATAAATGGCCTTCATCTAGATTACACGGAGAACTCTTACAATACTTTCGTCGACGAGAGTCATTAACAGTTGTCGATTCATGTATAATGTTTGGCCATCGTATCGTTATCCCCAGAAATCTTCGACACCAAGTCATTAAACAGTTTCACAGCGGGCATCCAGGGATAAGTAAAATGAAGTCACTAGCTCGTAGCTATGCATACTGGCCGTCAATGGACCATGAGATAGAGCAAAAATGTCGCAGCTGTTGGTCCTGTCAAGAGGCTGCAAAGAATCCAACGAGAGCTGAGCCACAACCATGGCCTAAACCGGACGGGCCTTGGCAAAGAATACATGCTGATTTCGCCGGACCGATACAAGGTAGGAATTACTTAGTTGTTGTAGATGCTTTCACAAAATGGCCGGAAGTATATGACATGCCGAATACGACTTCAGAGAGTACCATAAGAAGATTGTCAGGATTGTTTGCCTGTTTTGGGGTTCCAGAGATCTTGGTGACTGACAATGGTACTCAGTTTATGTCATCTGCCTTCAAACGCTTCTGCAACGAGAATGGCATATTGCATCTACAATCTCCTCCATACCATCCTCAGTCGAATGGCCAGGCAGAAAGATTCGTGGATACAATTAAAAGAGCTCTGGTCAAAGGGGGAGGTGAGGGTGTCCCGGAACAAGTGATTAATAAGTTCTTGATGTCTTACAGAGTTACCCCTAATCCGGCAGTACCAGAAGGAAAGTCTCCGGCCGAGTGTATGTTCGGAAGGAAAATCCGGACAGTTTTTAACAGTATGTTGCCGCCCAGAAAGACAAATGAACCCACGAATGAAAATCGTAAGGTCAATCGTAGCTTCCAGGTGGGTGAAAAGGTACTTGTCAGATCGTATCAAGGTAATAGGAAGTGGGAACCAGGTGTCATAGAACGTCGAATCGGAAATGTGCTGTACCTAGTCCGGAAAGATGTCGGAAAATGCATAAGACATATAAATCAAATGCAAAGAAATGATAGTACAGTGGTCCCAGAAAACCGGCTCCCATTTCAATTGCTCGTAGATTCGTCTCAGAAGAACCATCATGAGCGCAAATATCGAAAAGACAAACGACGCAGAGAGAAGGCTGTACAACCTTCGAGAGTAATGGACCGCAAGAGGAATGCGACACACAAGCTTCAGGTGGATCCAAGAAAAAAATCTTACACAACGGACTTTAAAGGGGGGAGGTGTGACGACGGACCACCGGTGAACTCGAGGAGGCTCATAGGGAGCCGAAGACATTCCATCCAATCACCTTTCGGAAGAATGTTCTAGAATTCCAACGTGTAGCTTCCCGATTGGATAATGCTAATAACCCCCTGTACGCGGATTGGAAGACTGTAATGATGATTTCGTTCTCACTAAAAACTATAAATACCTGACAATTTTGTACTATGTTTGACACTGTTTGGAATAATATTCCTTTCGTTAGTCTTCTGTCTTCTTATTGCGACTTGGAAGGGTTTGGTGTTCTAGCGCTCAGTTATACGCGGTTGTATCAAGAAAAATCAGCTTTTCAAGATATAACAGTCCCAAATGGTCAAAAATAATTGTATTATAGTCTATATCACAACATGGTGAATTACAGTTATTCACACTTCAGAAATAATTCCGAATTAATCACTATCAATTTTTATTTATAAAAAGGGATAGCATCTCATTTGACAGTAATCTCATAGAGCTATTCAGCTTAGCTTCATAAAGTTTGTTTCAAGAGGGTCAACTTACATGTTAAGCAGTTGGTCGCTGACATTAGGTCCACTGTAAGTTGCATTATTTTTCGTGATTGATAATAGTAAGCTGGTGGTTGTAGTTAATCTAGTTAGAAATTATTGGTAAATTTACCAGTAAATCAACTGGGTGGTACCTGAAAGCACTGTGTAAAACTCAAATGAAATATCACAGTATCGCTTATAGCATTCATTATATTCAGCGCTAGTAATCAACTCCTAGTTTTTTTACGTCTATTTATTAAAGATCATTTGAATTATGTTGAAATTAATCACCTTGCCCACATAGAATAATTAATGATCTTATTCACCAACTCTTTATTTGCACATCGTTGTCTCTAAAGGATTGCTGATATTCAGTGGCAACACCATAGTAGTAATGCAGAGGTTCGGCAACTTGTGTTAGACCACAGCGATGACAATTCAGTTAGTGTCGCCGTCTTGAAGCAAAGTCTTTGGTGGTTAAGATGTGTACTACTAATGTCGTCCTAGCAAATTCTACACCGTGGATTATTTCCCAGCGCCAAGACTTGTTGGCAAAAGCGAAGAGGTGATCAGTGTATGACAGTGTCGTGGTATTTAAAAAACGTACAAGGCCGGCATCTGTTGGTCTTCCGCTACTCCCTGGTTGGGGTTTTAAAGATAGTGCAACTTAGTGGTTTGAGACGTTATCAGACATAGCTGAAAACAAAAGCCAGTGGTTGTCTCGCCGTAACTTTATTTTACTTTATTCATATAAGTGGGAGAAACATCTTTAACTGGGGAAATTCTTTCTTGTCGTATTTTCTCAATTGAATTGCTTCCCCCATTCACTTATTTTTGTTCATTTATTGTACTTTTTTATGCATCACCTCTTCACAATCTCATTGAGTGGAGCACATTTATTTTGATCCCCATTTGTATCAAAATTTATGTTTAAACAAAATAAAATATTTACCACAAATCTATGTTTTAATCAGCTAACTTGTGTTAATGAATCGTTTTCATTCCATCATTTTGTATTATAAACATTAAAGAAAGCAAATAAAGATTATTGTTTGGAATGTGATGGAAAAGATTTCTAAGTTTTATGTTTTCGTAAATGTTATCAGTGCATCTATGGTTGAACAATTGATATGCTTGACTTTCAAACACTATATCACTAATTCAAATCCAACTCCGTCCATCAGGATTTGATCATCTGTATTTTATTACTAACCATTACTTTATGGATATAGTTTAATGTCCAAACAATGAGTCTACTCTTAGTTACTAAATATCATTTAATTGATATGTGTGTTTCAGCAGCCGCTTAATACATAGCTTTTAATCTTATTTAAATAGTGGTATCATTTTACCTCATAATTCGACTATCAAAGCCGACTAATTCACCACTACAATCGCTCTTCATATCAATCATCTCTTTATTATACCAGAATATACTTATTTTCCAGAGGTTTCAATTGTGGTCTACCTAGCTTGTTTTACCCAATCACTTAACATCTCTAACTAAAAACTTGTCAACAAATGTGTTTTTATCAGCGTATGATTGCAAAGACTGTTGAATTCTATTGAGATCACAGACCGAAGGTCCTAGGTTTGATTTCCATCTTCAGGGTCGTGAATGTGTACTACTGAGTCCCAGCTTAGAATTGCACGACCATCCAGTGCTTCTAGGCTTTCACTGGTTGTCTAAATAAAGTAGTTTTTGCTTTCTTTTCTTCATCTCTTTTGGTTAATAATAATGGTTGAAATCTGACTAGTGAATTATTCAACCGTTAACAGCTTACATATTTCCCGTTAGAGGTCATCCGCCTCTGAAATCAATCAAGCGAAATTCTTGGAAACTAATATGCTTCTACTCTTCGATATATTTCTTTTTTTAAAATCAATTGTTTGTTATTCCAGTTTTTTAATGGAACTCATAATAATTCTTGTATGTGTTATGTTTATGTTTACATGGATTTACTAATGTATACTTCTTATAATATACCTTGTTATTCTCCTCAATTTTTAGGTCTCCACATATCAAATGATTATATTAATGAAATTCAATCGACGAAATCGTTATAGTTTTATTGAATTAGCGAGTGAAACAAATATTCCTGAACGTGAATTAAAACGTAGTCTTATGGCTTTAGCATTAGGTCGTTGTAGTCAACGAATTTTATGCAAAGAACCTAAAACACGTGATATAGAGTCAACTGATATATTCTATGTCAATGATTCATTTGTTTCGAAACATATTAAAGTTCGGGTATGTCTAAACTATATATATATATAATTTGTATGGTTTATTTTTTAAAAACTTATTACTACTAATTCAATCATTACTAGTGTGTTGAGGTTTCTTACGTTAGATTTATTTGTCGTGATATTTATACACATGTATTATGTGATTATTCTGAATTTTACGTTTTCAACCGAAATGGTTACCAGAAAACAGTACTCCAATATTGTCATTAAATAATATTCTTGCATTTGTAATTTATTATAAATGTATTTGATTATTGATTGATTGTAAAGAGGAATAAAATTTGAATTTAGGTCTTGTTTTTGACTACCCTCAATCATCCGATATTAGGTATCATATGCATATTAAGATGACATTTTACTTCTTGGATAATAAAAATTTTGAGCATTAGTGTTTCTTTCAGGTGACGACAATTTCTAAATTTATGATTTGATGTGATTATGAAAGAATATCTTCGAAACATAAAACTACTTAGTCTGATAATTTAACTTAAAATAGTGTTTCTGAGCTGCTTTGTTCACGGTGAATTTATTTTTGAACAAGGTATTAAATTTTCAGAAACCTACTTTATTTTGTCTTGCAGATCAAACTAATAGATTCCCCTAGATTAATTTTAACAACCCTCATATTAAATATCACATAATGCTCTGTTTCTACTCGTTTACCTTCTCCGCTTCCAGTTGCGGATCCGCTGTACGTCGTGTTTTCTTCTATTCTTAGTTTTTTTTTTCTAATTAGAACACCCTCTTGTCTGTTCATCGATTTCAGCAAAGTTTGTGTGCAAACTCCTAACATACTGAATTTTCTACAACCTAAATAACTAATATTAAATTACATGAACCCGATAGTGTTTCACCCATTCTTTTCCTTTCACTAGTTTTAAAATTAGGCAATCTAGTCATATAACTATCTTTTTTCGGATTAGTCTATTCAGACTTAATATTAATTAACCGTAACTGATCGCACATAATGATTTCATATGTTCCACTTTCTCTACTCCTCAGTCGTCATGACCATGATTGAAACTTCTAACAAATCTAACTTACCACCTCCAACCCATCACAGTTAAGGATAAAGCAACTCGCAGTAAATAGACTAATGTATTTTCTGCATAACTAGCTACTGACGCGTTTAACTGTGTACTGATTCAAACTGTTATTGATCTTTCCCATGTTTTTATCTTTAGGTTCAAAGTATCACTGTTAAAGAAAGCGAACCAGAACGTCAGGAAACGCGGACAAAAGTAGATGAAAATCGACGTTATGTGATTGAAGCAACAATTGTGAGAGTCATGAAAGCTCGTAAAACTTTAAGTCATGGACAACTTGTTGTTGAAGTTATCGAACAATTAAAATCGCGCTTTGTACCTACCCCCCTAATGATTAAACAACGTATTGAATCGCTTATTGAACGAGAATTTCTTGCTCGATTAGAAGATGATCGTCGAGTTTATAAGTACTTGGCCTAATCTCATTTTGTAAACCAAATCTAAATACAACCTGTATCTTTCAAGTCCCATCCTACCATTCCTTGCGTCTATTCTCTATTCTCTCCGCTGTCAAAAATTTTCAAATTACTCTTATGATGTGTTGCAAGATGATAAGCTTTAAATAATGATCAGAACAAATCTGATTGCTCATTATCAATTAATTGAATAAATCAAATCATTGTTCTCAATTTACTACTACAAACCTAGTCTTCATCAACTTACTACAGTTAAGTTATCTATGACTTTTTGTTTCCTTTGCAAATCTCATGCTTCCATTTCAGTTTTTTTTTATTAAACTACTAACCTTACCTACATAAATTATATATGATTCGTTATTTTGTTTATGTACATATTCTAATTGCCTCACTCTTTTAAGTTTATGCATTCTAAAATTGATTCATTTTATCCTCATTCATAACTTTTGGAAAATGTGGAATCAATGTTAATTACTCATTTCTTTGTTTCTTTCTCCATTCAAATGTGCAGTTACCCACAGTGCTAACTTATATCATTTGGCTAAAAGCATCTCCCTTGTTACAGTAAATAATACGATTATTAATGCGACGGGCAACTTCACATATTTCGGTGAGTAAATGAACTTACTTCTGAACAAAGAATGAAGCAATCGGCTGTGTTAAACAATATGTCTAATTACTTCTTCAATCTTATGTAGTTTGTCTTAACTGTACACATTTTGAGCAGTTTAAATCTGCCATGCAATGAATGCTTTTATTTATGGTGGAGTATTTCTCCTTTTTGAGTTTTAGTCCTACACAAAGCCCTGTCCACATTATTTTTTGTGTAAGCTACATATATGTATCCACTCAAGTAAGGCGTATTTTCTCGCCAAGGTTAACTTTTTTCTCAAGGTTTTATTTTCGTATGTTTACTTTCTCTAGGTGTTGCTTTAAATTGTAGCACATAGTTTTGTGCAGTATATGTGTTTTTTTAGTGTATTCAAGGTTTGACTTTAAAACTACTATGAATTCAGTGCTATCCGTTAGCTTGTTTTCTGTATCAATTGATATCTTGAATCAATCAGTTTATCACGGTGCACTGTACACTGTCTGCTATTTATCAATGTTCTGATAGTTGGTCAAAATGGTATTAATTTCTTTTCACTTATCTTCTAAATACGAGGTAATTTTACCATAATTGCTGACCTCAAACAACTCGGTCGCGTGAGCATTTAAAAGTGCTATGAGTTCGCAATTAAATTAAAGTAACAGCTAAGTCTATATTATTATTTTGTGTTTTTAGACATTTACTAATTTGCAAATTGGATACGTTCGTTAGACACTATCAAAATTGCATGTAAAGGTAATTAGTAGTTAACTCGCAAAGTGAAATATCTTGTCTGGATAACTTTAACTGAATGCGTGTTCTCGACTACACTGAGTCTCAATACTTTGGACGACTAAGATATTTACTAGGTTATGACAGCCGCTTCATTTTAAGGAGTGTTTTCGTGTCCTGAGGTAACCAGAACGGGTAATTACTGAGATGTCCCATTTGTCTAGTCCTATGATTTAGTGAAATAAGATTCTTTAAAAGGGATATCTGCACAGGATTTCTAATGAATTCACAACAAGAACCCAAACCTACCCCAATATGAAAGCTACGAAAGGTGTATAATTTGGAGTTTCATGAATCAGCTCTTATGCAGAATCTAATCCATTATCGGGAGATTGTATTTTCCGTATTTAAAGCGGGAAGAAAAATTGAGGTTTCTAGAATTAATACAAATTATAAGGGGTTTCGCCTGGATGAAACAGTTCAGTAAGATGACGTATTGGAACTTGCTTTCTTCTGTGCAGCCACCTTTGATTGGCGCATACACTTTGCTTCGCACTTGAACTCTGGCTCTTTAATCCTTGTTTATTCACTGTAGCAGAATAAGGAAGCAGTATGATAGTAAAATTCTTATTAATTGCTTACTTGTTTCTCAGAGATTATATAGTTGTCTTTGGTGGCAACCGTATTGTTTGATCGACTTGTCAATTATCGTAAACAGCCAGTGTTACTCCTGAAATAAAGCTCGTCGTCAGTCAAACGCTCCGTTAAACCTTTAGTTGGATCATATAGTCTCGTGACTCCATATATCGAGCAACTGTCTTATTCGGAAGGCCGGAAGTGACTATATCTCCAGTAAAATAAATGTGTTAGCAGTCGTATTTTCCAGAAATAATGACAAATGAGATGGATTATGCAGTTTTTTTTTAATGTCCTACTATTTTTTGAGCAAGATACCATAAGGTCCCAGTTACTGCAAATTACATCTTTTTGCATAATCCATGCTATGGTAGGACCCTAATTTTCGTCGTATAAAACTTTGAAATATCTTTCTTACTTGTACTTGGCAACGTTCATTCTAAAAAAGAAGAATTGGTAGTTGTTTGTAGTGAATTGCATACCTAACACAGATGAACCAAGCTTCTGTCGTAGCATTTGACCCTTTAGTAGTAATAACGAATTTCCGAGTAATCAGGTATACGCTATTTTTAGTCATGGTCACTACAGTACAAGACCTATTGACAAATTGAATATTATCAAGGCTGGGTGGTGGTGTTCAGTACCATATCAACCCCACATGAGTTATTCTAGCTTCCAAACAGACCAATTTATTCATTCTTCTTGAGTCACATTATGACCTTGTTAATTATTCACCTGTCAACATTGACTTTTTATGTAAGCGGATGTGTGTACATTGCTTATCCTATTCATCACGTTTTTAGCTTATTTTTGTTTGACTATAAACGTCGACTCACGCTTGGTTAAGTTGAGTTGGCTCACTTGACTCCTCTAATTCGTTTCGTTTCATTTATCTGATCGTCTGTTTGGCATCAACGATCGCATATCCAAATTCGATTCTCGTATTCAACTTATTTAATTCCGTTATTCGCTAACATGATTCAAGTCGATGATTATATATGAGGGTAGCCGAGACGTATTTTTCGATAACAGTCATTCATTCAATCATCAAACGACCTAATTGGAGTCAGATAAATGACTACTAAAGTATCATGCAGTCTCCAACCAACAGCTGCGATGATACTGAAAAGAGGTAGAAAAAAAGTGAACAACAGCGCGGAATAACTTGTTATAACTGCAAAAGTAGAGCTATTTGTAGCAGAAAAATATGACATGTAAAATAAGTTGACGAACTTAACTAAACACTAGGTTAACTGTTATTCAAACATTCTCAGATAAATTACAGAACAGTAGTAGTCAACTAAGTTAAATAGAGTTCAAACTCATGGACAGAAAGATAAAGTAAACGAGTAGGATAACTGTGCGGACTTCGGAAATGTGATCTAAATAATAGGTTTTATTAAGCTCAAATCTTTATTATTTTTGAACAACTTGCAAAGTCCTAGCATATGAGTTTATTTTTATTAGAAAAATGGTGTCCCAAGTGAAACCAATGTGAGGTTATAAATATGATATAATATGAAGTAAACACCCGGAGAACGACACTAGTAACAATGATTAGTCCACAGTACACGTTTTTGTAAAATATGTAGATGGTCTCACTATATGTACGCCTATCTCTTCCTCTTTACATCCCATAGGAATGAGTGAGTTTTTGTCTCGTATTGATTGTTGGTCTGTTGTTAATGATCTCAAACTTAATCTGTCTAAATGTCAAGCTGTTACCTTTGGCATAAGACATGAACGGCATCTAAATACCATTTTGAGATCCCATAATGCTTGTGCCATTGGAGACTCTTTGATAAACAGTGTCGAAGGTCAATTATCTTCGTGTTACTTTTTCCTCTGATCTCTCTCGGTTTTCTCATGTTTTACTGTTATCGAAGAAAGTTTCCGTCTGACTTACTACATGAAGAGACTACATGCTTTTGGGATTACTCGTCATTTACTCTTACAATTTGTCAACTGCATATTGCGTATTATTCTTTACTGTTCTCCATTATTCTTTCCCGGGTTTTTGAGAAAAGACTGCTGTATTGCGGAGAGTACTGAAGGCAGTTAGCAAGGTGTGGTGAATTTTTTTTTGAGGTCATAGTTAATTCGGTTGTGGATAGAAATCTAAAGTCATGCAAACTCCTGGCAGGTGTTATCAGATACTAACCATCCTCTTCACTTATATCTTTCCCCTTGTATATCTTCTGGTAGAACGAGACGTAATTACATTGAAATCCATGCACTCAAGCAAAGGTATAAAATTTCTATAATACCTAACCTAGCAAATATACTCTGTGACGAACAGGTTGTTAGAGTTAACCTAGTCAACAACCTGCATTTTTGACATTTCTCTAATTTAGAGAGTTGTACAGTTTTTCAGATATTTAAACATTTTTCTGTCTTTGTTTCTGATTTTTTGTTTAAGAAAATTGTTGAAATACCCTGTGCTGAGAATTATATTTTGTACTAAAATATAATATTGAATAAGGCCATTAATAATAATAATCCTTCTAATTATAAAAATACGAAGATTCAAAGGAATAAATGCTTATTTCTAATGAACTTAGGTTTACCACGTAAAACCTAGAAGAAGCTATCTCCAATATGCAATATATATGTCACGAACTTGTATAAACCGATTAATTTATTTGCGCTCGCCTCTCGTTTTGATACGGTTTCAGGTATTTGGTAATGTCCAATGAGTAGTTCTCTAGCCACTTGACTGCACTAATTCTAATCAATTTAATAGTTATTTGTGTATTTATATATCTTGCAGTTTGAGTGGGTGCATTTGTCTAAGGGTAGTAGGTTTCTGGAGACCAGCAGCTATCACAAAACCAGACAGGAGGTCGGTGGATAGCAATGCGAAAAACAATTGATAAAAAATTTGAATGCTGAGTGAAGACATTTGTTTCAAGAAAAAAATAAACAAGTTGGCAATGCAAACGGTGTGGGGAGATCGAAATGTAGGAATTAAAGGGGAAATGGAGATGATGATAAGTGATCTAGGGACAAGTAAATGATATGTGACACGGACAACAGTAAGTAAGTTATGAGACATCCATCAGACACAGCCGGTTCAAGTGAAATATGTTAATTTGTGGGTGGGTGCGTGTTCTTCAAGTGTCCTCTTGAAGTTGTCTCCTAGGAGGAGGGCTGGTAGCACTACAACATTGTGAACATTACAGTCGGGCTGTGCGCATGTTTTGATGAGATTTAGGGGCGATTCTGGGATGATTGCGTGAAGTTTCCTCCACATAAAGTGAAGGGTTGCATTCGCCTTGACCTCATCTCCTGTTAGTTGTGTCCATAACTAAACAATCAGATCGTTGCTTAAACGCCCACCACGTCAATCTGGTCTGACGTATCTGTAGCCTGTCTTTGTCACACTTGACCTACCAACTCAAAAACATTATTGTCCTATCATATCAGCGTGACTCATGATTTTTGTTCATTTCGACAAGACACGCAATACTAGTCGGTGTGTTTGTGCGTTCCTCGTAATTACTATAATTCCTTCAGTTATTGTACTAACCGAATTGTTTTTAAGTTTAGAAACATAAAGTTCAAAGCCAAGTTCTTATTGTTCTAACTATAGCTTTCACATAGACTCTGGGTCGTCAGTATCGTGTTTACAGTTCTAGTAGTATATCTGTAAGATGAATTAAATCCTATATCCCCTATGTAATTTGAGCTGATTTCTAATATTTCTGTGGTCATTAGCTCGAGATCGCGCTCTGAGGAGACAGTCGGAAGCGGATTTCCATAGAGGGTGCAAATGTTTGGTACCAGATGAGACAGAATGTTCATGACTCGGTATTTCGGTAGACCAACTTTTAATCTATTGTCTACTGCACATTCCCAAGGTGCTGTAAGACCCTTTTGAAGCTCAAGTGAATCCTTTTCGTTTTTTATGGACTTCCAGATCTTTGCATTATGTTCGCTGACCGATATCGCCGAGCTAATTGTGTCTGTCTGATTGTTAATAAAGATCGGAGACAGGAGTTTACCTAAGTTTATCCCTTGTGAAACTCCTGATATTTAGACTCCCCAACTCACGTGCACTTTATTTGTCTCAGTGCGAAACATACCGTTCATCAGGTAGCTTCGGAGCTAAAATAGAATTGGGTCAGTGAATCTCATCTTTTAAATTGCCTTTATGAGAATTGCTT